CACACACACAGTGCTCTGCCCTCTGCAGCCCTCCCTGCCTGGCTCTTTTGGGCAGTCCTGCCTCTGAGACTCAGTCTCCTTCCTTGCCCAGTGGCCCCAACGACCGGTCCCTGGTCAGGGTATGTGAGGACCCAGCCAGTGAGGTGAAGGCCAGGACCACAGGAAGTGGCCATTGTGACCTGAAGGGCCCTGCCAGAGGAAGGCCCGCCTCAGTTTCCCTTCAGGGAGGAGACTGGGCTCCCCCTGGGGCGTGGGTCCTGCCGGGCCTGTGCTCCCTACCCTGAGTGTCTCCAAATTTGGCGCTGTCAGACATCCCCGTTTCCTGCCTCCCCACCCTCGTGCTGGCCTGGGGAGGGGCCTGCTGGGGCTGTCCCCAGAGCCCCCCCAGGCTGCCGAGAGAGGAAATCCTCTTCCTCCTCAGAGGCGCAGAGTGCCGAGAGTTTCTTGGGGCGTCTCTGGCTTCCAGGCCGCAGATGGTCCCAGCTCCCTCTGGAGGGCCTGGCGGCCCGGCCCCTCCTCTCGGCCAGCTGCCCCCCGCCCTGTCCCCCCTGGCCTCCCCCGCCCCACCTTTCCTCCTCTGGCTCCAGGGGCCGAGGCAGCCAGACACCCGCAGCCCGGGCGCCAAACGGGGCGCCGGCCCAGCAGACTGCTGGGGGCCGGGGTGTGCCGGCTCCTCCAGCCGGCCCCTCCTGGCAGCTGAATAATTAAATATTCATGCGTTTTCTCCGGCCCCCAGAAAGTGATAAGTCAGACTTGGACAGGCAGAAGAAAGCGCCCAGGGCGGCCGCCCCCGCAGCCCGCGCCCCGCTCCTGACTCCTCGGCAGAGCTGCACCTTCCCAGATAGGAAGACAATCCCGGAATTAGGAGGCTCCAGCCCCAATTAGGCTGTTTGTGTTGACGGAGTCTGGAGGGTTCTGCTTCCAGGAGAGTATTCATGACGCTGACAGATGCGGGAAGCCCGAGTGGGAAGCCTGTGAGGCTCTGCGGGTGGGGGCGAGGGTGCCCCCATCCTCAGCTGCCGCCCACGGGGTCTCCTGGAGGCCCCCAGGGCCCCGGGGCTCATGCAGGGAGGGTCCCGCCCTGCCCAGCCCCCACGGATTCTGCGAGTGGGTCCCCTTCTCTGGGCGGCGTCAGCGGCCTGGGGGGCGGCTGCTCCGGCTCGGCTCCGGCCCCTCGGGAGCTGACCGGACCGGAGCCCGGGTGACGGCCACTAACGCGTGAGGCAGCGCCCCGGCAGCACCCGCCGGACACCTGGACGGGCCTCCGCTGGCCTGGGCACAGCTGGGCGGGCGGGCGCTTCCTGCTCTCGGCCCCACTCGCTGACCACGTTTTTCCACCTCGCCTTCCTCCCGCTAACAGCGTGTCTGAAGATGGAAATTGTTTTTGTGAATGGAATGTGGCTGGGGGCAGAGGGAAGGCCCCGCGGGCGGCCGGCGGAGACGAACAGGGCCAGGTGGGGAAGGGCCGGCGCCACCAGCCGAGGGGACAGCCGGGCGCCACCCGCCCCGCCCCCACCGGGCCCCCCTGGCCGAGGCAGGCGAGGCGGGGGTTGAGGGGGGACCGGGCAGAGGCCAGGACAGGGCGGCCAGCTGCGGCTAACAGGCGCCTGCGCCCACCGCCCACCCCTCAGCCATCCCCCTCAGTCATCCCCTCCCCAGCTCCCTCCCCTCCCCTCCCCCACCCCCACATCCTCCCCCCTCCCCTCCCCCTGCCACCCCCTCACCATCTCCTTCACCCACCCCCTCCCCACCCCTTCACCATCCCCCCACCATCCCCCTCACCATCCCCCTCCCCCACCCCCTCCCCCACCCCCTCAGCCACGCGTTCACCCACTGCCTCCGTCACTGCCCTGCTCACTGTCCTCTGCACTGGTCCAGGCTGGCACCGCTGGGGCTCAGGGCATGGCGCAGCCTTCGCTCTCTCGACGGCCTGAGCGTTGGCCCTGGCAGTGCTGGGAGACTCTGGGGGGGTCACGGCAGGGCAGGTGCTGGGCAGCAGGGAGCGACCTGTGCATCCGGGCCTGGCCACCCTCCCTCCCCCCAGGGGCCCCGAGCACCTGGCAGGTCCCAGGGAAGGGCCACAGCTCTCCAGGCCCGGGGACAGGCCCGGACAGAGGCTCCCTCTGCTTGGCCTCCTCAAGCTCAGGAAGGCGCTGGCTGAGGCTCTTCTGCCACCCCAGGAGTGCGCCCCACCCCTGATGCCACATCCACCGGGAGGGGGGCACAGCGCCTAGTCAGAGCCCGAGATCCGGTGCTGGGCGGCCCAGGGGTCCCCGGGGGCCTCCGCCTCTATCTGCGATGGTCAGCGCGGTCTGCGCACACGAGGCCATCCATCTCTCGCTCAGCCTCCTGGTGCGAGTGTGGCCTCGGCCTGGCTTCTCCAGGGAAGAAGGACTACCCCCGTAGTCCCACCAGGAGTGACCCCTGAGCACAGAGCCAAGAGTCTGCCAAGGGGGCTGGGTGTGGCCCAGGCCCCCACAACAAATAAAATGCTAGAGTTTATTTTATTTATTTTGCTTTTTAGGTCACACCCGGCGATGCACAGGGGTCACTCCTGGTTCATGCACTCAGGCATTACTCCTGGCGGTGCTCAGGGGACCCTATGGGACGCTGGGACTCGAACCCAGGTCGGCCGCGTGCAAGGCAAACGCCCTCCCCGCTGTGCTATCGCTCCAGCCCTAGTCACAGAGTTTATAAGCAGCGTGTGTGCGTGTCTGTGCGTGTCTGTGTGTGTCTTCTGTGTCTCTGCGTGTGTTTGAGTGTGCGTGTGTGTGTGCAGATTTCAGGGGCCTGTTCTTTGCGGTGGTGACTGAGTCGCTCACACTGGACACTCGTGCTCTGCCGCTGCTGCCATCTGTGCACGCGCTGCCGGTCCACAGGGGTGTGGCCAGGGACGGCTGTCCTGTCCTGTCTGTCTGAGGGAGGAGGCAGGAGGGGGGCCGCGACACCAGTGGAGACTCAGGATCCCGACCCCCGGGGGAGCGTGAGGGCCGTGTCCCAGAGAGGGTCCCTGCCTGCCCAGGGCCACCCCTAGAGTCAGTCAGGACCGGATGCTGCCCATGCACCCAGGGGCCAGGGAGGGGCAGAGGCCGGTAACAAGGGGCCACGTCAGATTCGGGCCCTTGAGTGCCCTTCCCCAGAACAGGCCCTGAGTAGGGCCGAGGCGGGACCCTGTGGGCACCAGAGCAGGGGTGCGGCACAGCGTGCACTCTCTCGGGATGGTCTGTCCAGGGTCCAGGGGCCACTCTAGGGATGGAAGGGGCAGGGCAGAGGGGGAAGGGGGCCTGGGCGAGGACACGGGGGGGGGGGGGGCGTTCCCGGGTCCGTCCCTGCAGCCGTCTCTCCTGGCACCACCAGGAGTGACGTCTGAGCCCCTCCAGGTGTGGCCCCCAAAAGGAGAGAAGGGGGAGTGGGGCCGAGGGGCGGGCGGGTGGGGACAAGCACAGACCCCGCGCTGGCTGGCGGAGCCACAGGGGCTCAACTGCGGGGGGGGGGGGCACAGCGGGGACCCCTCCACAGCGCACAGTGCTCAGAGCAGACCTCCATCCACCGAACCCAGGTGGCCACCAGAGGGCGCTGCTGCCCCCGGGTCCCTGCGGTAGCGTCCACGCGGTGAGTCCCCGTGAGTCCCCGCTGCGCCGCCTGCCCGGCCCCCCCCCCCGCCCCCCGCGGACTGCTTCGATGGGCGTGGGGGGAGGGGCTCACTGCCTCCCGGCGGCCCCGCTGTCCTGTCCAGTCCTGCGGCTGGTCTCTGCCGCCCCCTACTGGCCCTTCCCTGGCCGAGCGTCCAGCGTGGGAACCGTCCAATGCCCAAGATGCACGTCACTCGGGAGGCTGTAGGGACCCTCGAGTCCCAAATATAGGGTGCAGGACACAAGGGCCGTGGGGGGCTGCGCCCGCGTGTGCACGTCCTCCAGTACCTTTGGACTCACGCTGGCCCGGAGGCAGTGCTGACCGGCACAGCGGACTGGACAGGGGAACCTTGCATCAGGCTGCACTGATGCCACCAAACTCACTTAAACCCCCTCGGCAAGAAACGGTGCGGGGGCTGGAGCGATAGCCCAGCGGGGAGGGCGTTTGCCTTGCACACGGCCGAGCTGGGTTCGATTCCCAGCATCCCACAGGGTCCCCCGAGCACCGCCAGGAGTGATTCCTGAGTGCAGAGCCAGGAGTGACCAAAAAGGGAAAAAAAGAAAAAAAGAAAGAAAAGAAATGGTTGGGCTGGCAGGAGAAGTGTGAAGCAGGAGGCCACCGTGGACAAAGGGGACAGGCCTCAGGCCACTGTGCAGAGGGACCAGCAGCCGCTGTTACAGAGGTCAGTGGCTAGGCCACACGGCCTTGACAGGTGCAGTCACCCCCACCTGAGAGCGGTCAGTGAGCTGGCCGGGACTGCCCGGGGCTCGTCAGTTTAGTCCCTTCCTTTGTTTTGGTTTTTGTTTGGGGCCACACCCAGCAGTGCTCAGGGCTTCCTTCTGGCTTGTGCTCAGGGACGGCTCCTGGTGGGGCTTGGGGGCCACATGAGATGCTGGGGATCGAACCCCAGCTGGCCACATGTGAGGCGAGGCCAGGCCCTCCCCGCTGTCTGGCCACCCCGGCCCATTTCTCCCTCTCCCCAGGAGAGGCGCTTGTAGCATCAAAGCAGGCGACGATGACTCTGGGGTGACCGAATGTCCGAATGTTCCTTCGGGCTGTGTCCCGCCCCTCCTTAGGTACCTGTCCACAGCCCCCGACCCTGAGTTTGCACGGGGCCTTCTCACACCCCGCCCCCACCCCGCCCAGGTCTCCCAGTTTCTGGCTGGCCCTGCCACCTCCCGGGGACCCAGCTGGCCTGGTTCCTTCTACTCCAAGGCACCTCCCAGGGCTCAGGCGGGCGGGGCAGCGGTTGCCTGGCAACCAGCCGCTCCTACCAGGGCACAGCTTGAGGCCACGTTGCCCAGCAACCAGGTGGCACCTGGGGGCCCGGCTGTGCCTGCTCCCTGCTCCAGACCCCTGGGGCCGCCCCCTCTCTGGGCACAATGAATGTGGTTCTCTCCAGGTGAGAGGCAGCGGGGGGAGGGGGCCCAGGGTCCGACAGGCACTGCTGGACTGGAGGGGGGGTGGGTGTACCTCCTGCCACCCCACCTCACGGTCAGGGTGGACAGCAGGGCCGGGGGCCCCTGTCACTGCCCAGCGCTCGAGGGGTCACGGGCCCTGGCCCCTTCAGACCCCCGAGCACCACTCGGTGTGACCCCGGAGGGAAGAGGAAGAAGGGTGGCGGGGACCGGAACAGTTTGGGGATCGGAGCCTGGGGAGGCACTGCAGAGGGGTCTGGAGACGCGGCAGGAAGCGGGGTGCCCCGCCGGGGAAGGAAGTGGGGGCCACGCCGAGGGGCCAGCTCAGGCCCCAGGCCCTGCCCCGGCCCCCAGGGACAGCCAAGTGCGGGCGATGGAGGACATGGTGAACCACGCCGAGACGTACTTCGGGCACTTCTGCTCGCTGCTGGCCGCCTACACCCGCAAGACGGCCCGGCTGCGGGACACGGCCGACCAGCTGGTCAAGCGGCTCCTGGACTTCGCCAACACGGAGAGCCCCGAGATGCGCGCGGTCATGAAGAGCCTCGCCGAGGACCTGGCCAAGGTGCAGGATTACCGGCAGGCCGAGGTGAGGCCGCGCCTGCGTCCGGGGAGGGGGCCGCGCTGCGGAGCCCCCGCCCGCCACGGCCGTTCCCCCGCCCCAGGTGGAGAGGCTGGAGAACAAGGTGCTCAGCCCCCTGAAGCTCTACGGCGCGCAGATCAAGCAGACGCGGGTGAGCAGGGCCACGCGGGGAGGACGCAGGGCCCCGGGAACGTGGTGGAGGGGTGGACGCAGGGGTCCGGGGCCCAGACCTCAGGCCAGCCTCCCCTTGCCCTTAGGCCGAGGTCAAGAAGTTCAAACGCGCCCGGAACAATGAAATCAAACAACTGGAGAAGCTGGAGAAACTGAGGCAGAAGTCGCCTTCGGACCGCCAGATGATCGTATCCTTCGCCTGCGCGTGGGGCCCTGGGCCGTGTGGTGAAGGGTGGGGTCTCGTACCAGAGCCCAGCTGGTTCCTTAGCGGCCCCTTCACAGTCCCAGGTGAGTGTCCCCGGGACAGGTCGGGCAGGGCCCTGCAGGGAACGCAGGAGCTCGTGGAACAGCCAGGCCGTGTCCAGGGGCAGAACCCGCGAGGCAGACGGGTGGAACCGGGCATCTCGGCTGTCCCCGTCCCAAAAGACTATCCTGAAGGCACGTGCGCCCAGCGGGACCCTCTCAGCGCACACGCACGCACAGACACAGGCACGCTCGCTCCCTTCCCCCGGCCGCCACCTCTCCTAGCAGTGCTCACGTGAAGGAAGCTCTCCTAGGCAGGGAGAGGGAAACTGAGGCTGGGAGGGGAGCCTGGTCAAACAGAGAAGCAGATGGGGCCAGGCTCCACTGGTCAGTGAGTCCCCGGCCCCGACGGCCGGCAGAGTGGGGAGGGCCAGCAGGCGTCCCTCCCCGTCCTCCTCCCGCGTGCGCAGGCGGAGAGCAGCGTGCAAAGGGCCTCGGTGGACGCCAGCCGCACCACACAGCAGCTGGAGGAGACGGTGGACGCCTTCCAGAGGCAGAAGCTCCGGGACCTGCAGGTGGGCAGGGGCCAGCCATGTACATGTGTGTGACTGCGTGTGTGTGCTGGAGGGCCAGAGCCTGCATGCTTGCATGTGTCCACGTGTGCATATGCTCACGTGTGCATGTGTTGGTGAGAGGGGCCAGCTCGTGCCTGTGCATGCGTGCACATGTCGATGCATGTTGTGCACGTGTGTGCTGGTGAGGGGCTCTCACAGAGTTTCTGATTAACCCCCAGGAGTCCGCGCATGGCCTGGCGTGTGGCTGGTGTGTGTAGACACGGGTGAGAGAACAAGTGAGCTCAGAGTGACCAGGAGGCTCCCGTATCAGGGACGTGCCCCCTGTATGGGGCGTGTGCACGCCCGGGCCGGCTCCGCCCCTCGCAGTGCGTCCTTGTGCTTCCACGTATGTCCGTGTGCACACACGTGTCCCGTGCAGGGATGCATTGTCTGACTGCAGCCATGTGCGTGTCTGCATCCACGCCTCCATGCGGGCCGCAGTGCCTGTGTCTGTGCACGTGTTCGTGTGTGTTCGTGCCTGCCGGTGTGTTGCGTGTTCCTGCCTGCACATGATCCCACTCCATGTGTATGACGTCCATGCGTGGTCGAGCCCAGTATGCTGTGTTCATGCACGTGTGTGCTGTCAGTCTGTGCCAGGTGAATCCACCTGCACGTCCCATGTCGATGACCACATGTGCAGACCACGTTTCGTGTGTTCACGTGACCCCGTGCACACATGCTCCCCGGGCCCTGACTAGCCCAGCACCCGCCCTGCTGCCTCCTGGTCTGTCTGAGGCCGACATCACGGCCAAATCCGGGCCCCGAGCTCTGTTGGGCCGCCCCCACGGACGCCCGCGTGCAGGCCCCAAGGCACCCCAGGAACCATGAAAGGCTGCTCCTGTCCCCCCATTCTGCAAAGGTGGGGCCCCTTCCCGAGAGGCACGCCCGGGCGCTACATGGGACGCCCCCAAATCACTCCAGGGTGCTGAGTCCAGCGGGCCAAGAGGCCCGTGGACTGTGCCTCAGTGTCCCCTGAGCACAGAGCCGGGAGGACCCCCACGCCCGGCGGGGCCCCCAGACAGAGACAGCGCAGGAGCGGGCTGCAGACGGCTGTAGCAGGGGCTGCAGCCCCCCACGGGCCCCCTGGTCTCCCCAGAAGATCTTCTCGGACTTCGTGACCGTGGAGCTGGTGTTCCACGCCAAGGCCGTGGAGGTCTACTCGGACGCCTTCCGGGCTCTAAACGCCTACGACCCGGAGCGAGACCTGGAGGTGGGCCTTGGCTCTTGGCTTGGGACCCCCCCACACCTCCCGGTCCCCGGGGGCCAGCTCTGCCCCACGGCCCTGCGTGCTGGTCTCTCTGATGGTCACGTGCTGTGGGGGGCTGCAGGCCACGTGCCCACCGGGCCGGCAGGAGCTGCCCCTGCGCGAGGCGAGGCTGAGTTCACGGGAGGGGGGGGCATGGGCGGCGGCACCACCTGGCACCTCTCCGCCCCGGGGCTCTGGGAGGGGAGGGGTGCTCGTTTCCCGGGTGACCAGCCTCGGCCTCCGTGTCCCCAGAGGCAGGGTGGCCGGGCAGGTGGACGGGCCGGGCTGCCCCGGGTGCAGGGCGCAGCCTCGCGTCTGCTTCCTGGGACCCAGCCTGGACGCTGCCCCACAGGACTTCAGGGCCAGGACCCGGGGAACTTATGGCCATTACGCCGCCGCTCGGCCCACTCCAGACGCCGCCCGGTCCCTGCCGGCCGCAGCATCCTCCCCGGCCGCCCCCTGGTTCCTGGTCAAAGAGGTGAGCGCCAGCAGCGGCCGAGCCCGGGCCCCTGCACCCCTGCGTCGGCCTCTGCCCGGGGGCTGCTGCTGGGGGCCCCCACGTGGCTCATGGCTGGAAGCCCCTGAAGCCTCGTGTCAGTGGGACTGGGGTCCTGGGGGCTGGGCTGGGTAGGGGCGAGGAGACCGCATGAAGACGCGGGGCCACACTCCGGACATGGGCCCTGGGCTGGCCACTACTGGCCGCCACTGTTATTATTATTACTGTTCCTGGCCGTGCCTGCAGACCCGGGGCTGAACCCCCGACCCCTGAGCTGCGGCCTGGCCACGGGGCTGGCTAAGTGCTGCTTCTGTTATCGCCGGCCGCGGCTGTCCCGTCACCCTCACCCCGCCCGTCAGGCTCAGAGCGTCCCGAGCCCCACGCGTAGCCCACGGGAGGACGAGGAGGCCAGTGAGGGGGACGGCGCCGAGGAGGACCCTGTGCAGGACCTGAGGCCACCGCGGCCAGGAGCCTGAGCACAGGGCAGCCCCGACTGAGGGCTGTGACCTCTCCCATGACCTGGCCCGTGACCTGGCCCGTGACCTCTCCCATGACCTGGCCCATGACCTGGCCCGTGACCTCTCCCATGACCTGGCCCGTGACCTCCCCCTGACCTGGCCCGTGACCTCCCCATGACCCGGCCCCAGGCTGTCTGTCGCCCCTCCCAGCCCCCTGGCATCTGGTGCTCAATAAACGCAGGGTGGGCGAACAGGCTCTGTGATTGTGCGAAAGGGGGCAGGGTGGGCCGGGTGCTGCCCGTGTGGGGGCCCCCTCGGCCCCAGCTCAGGCTGTGGGGGCTGCAGCTGTCACCCCGACCGCCCGCCTCTGAACGATGCTGAAGAGGGGCACCAATGAGGGGGGGGGTGGTCCCAGGAGGCCGAGGGGAGGGACCCACCCTCCGGCCGGGTGGCTGCTCGCCACCAGGGCTGTCCGGGCGCCTGTCAGCCTGCACGGGAGCCCCAGGCTCTGGAAGATTCCAGCAGGGATGGTGCCGAGTCTGGGTTCCTTTGGGAATCTGCCGTTTCCTGTTTTCTTTGGGGCTACGCCGGGGAGGGCCTGTGGGACCCCGTGGTCCAGGGCTGGAGCTGGGCCCCCGTAACACCCGCGTCCCAGCCAGCCCTCGCTATGCTTGGGTCCCTCCCTGGACACCCCCCGGGGTCAGTCCCCCCACACATTCCCTGGGAGTCAGCGCCTGGACATACCCCCTGGGGGCCAGGGGCCGTGGACACACCCCTGGGGGTCAGCCCCTCACCTCCCCCCGTGGGTCAGTGCCCCCACTCCCTGGGGGTCAGACCCTGGACACACCCTCTGGGGGCTGCCCAGCCCCTGCCCCAGTGCTGATTCGCCCCAGGAGAGGTGGCGGCACAGGGCACAGGGCCGGGGGGCTGCGCCCTTCTCTGGAACAGTGCCCCCCCGCGGGGGGGCACGGAGGCGGGCATGGTAGGGGTTGGGAGGGGAGCCCCCGAGACACACACGCGCCAGGCAGCCCGACCAGTGCCAGGCACAGAGGCCGTGCCACGAGGGGTGGTGGCTCCTGCGAGACCCAGAGGCGTGGCCTCGCCCACGGCCCCGAGCACGGGGGCCTCCACCGCAACCCTGGGCCCTGCGACCCTAGGCTCCCGGCCGGCACGCAGCAGTCAGGCACCTTGGGGAAGGGGCGTTTATTCAGCTGGGCTGGGGTCCCCGGACAGTCTGCTGAAGCCCCCCGCCGCGCCCCGCTGGGGTCCCCCTCGCCCAAGCTCTGCCAGAGCCCGCCGGGACCCAGGGAGCTCCCCCCCGCCACCAGACCCAGTTGGAGGGCAGAGGCAGTTCGCCCCGGACACCCCCCACTCTAGACCGGACACAGGGGTGAGTCCCCACGGGTGCGTCAAAGGAGGCTGGGGGAGGGGCCCACGAGCCAAGTGCGGCCGCTTTTCCGGAATGTTCGGTTCAAATGACCAGACGGGGACTGTGTGGGGGCGTCCTGGCCCTTCCGGGGGCACATTTCGCCCCGCCATGCTCTCGTCACCCCAGGCTTCGCACCGCCTGGGGCCTGCCAATGCCGGCTTCTCTGGAACGTTCCAGACAGAACCCGGGGTGCAGGGGCTGGCTGAGAGGCTGTGGGGGTGTGGGGTGCAGGCAGCAGTGGCAGGCAGGGGAGGGGCACTGAGCACTGTTGCGGGGAGGGGCAGCCCCCACCCACCGCCTGGGACAGGGGTCAGCGGGAGGCGGGGGAGGGGCGGGGGAGGGGCGTACCTGGGCCGTCCTGAGGGCCCAGTCCGGCAGGAAGGGTCCTGCCCCCCGCCTGGTGTGGCTGGCGCCATGTTCCGGCACCCCCGTGGCCCAGGCAGCCCACGTCACACACGCTGACACACGGGGGTCCGGACGGTCACTCGGCTCGAGCCCCGGAGTCCCAGGGACACTGTGGCACGCGGTGGGGGCAGACTGGGCGGCGGGCAGCTACTCGGAGGCCATCTGGTCGCAGTGCTCGAGCAGGAGCTTGTACTGCTCTGGAAGAGGAAGCACCGGGTCCCACCTGTCCCCTCGCCGGCTCGCCCCGCGTCCCCGGGCGCCCGTGCAGGCTGGGCTCGGACCCCCTGCCGTTTGCTTGTCTGGGGGCCACACCGGGGTGCTCAGGGGCCCGTGGCCAGGGCTCAGCCGCTGGGCTCGGGGAGTGGCCCCGAGCGGGCAGATGGGTCTGAAGCCGGCCTCGTGCAGACGGGGCCAGGGGGTGGCATCGCCACGCCGGGCGGTCCCAGAAACGCCAGAGCCGGACACTCCCCGCAGTCCCGGCGGCCAGTGCGCGGGCCAGGAACCCTCCCGCGGGCCGCACCTTCGTCCAGGTTGCCGATGACCGCCTGCTTCTTCAGGAAGTCACCACAGAGCTTCCTGCTGAGCCCGAACGCCAGCATGTTGTGTGTGAACGTGCTGCGGGACAGGGGCCGGGGTCAGGCCTGGGGTGCCCGGTGCCCGGCACGGAGGGGCGGGGAGGCGGCTGTGTCGGGCTTAAGACACAGACGCCAGGGACAGAGCACACCTGTCGGCCAGGGCGCGGCACCCACACCGACACCAGCCCACTGGCAGGGGGCGGGGGACCCCGCGGCTGTGGTGTGTGCCGCGCAGAACACAGGCCGCGGAGGGCAGCGAACAGGGAGTGGTGTGCAGAGGCAGCGCACAGAGCTAGAGGGTGGTGTGCAGAGGCAGGGTGTGGGGAGCCGTGTGCAGAGGCAGGGCGCACGCTGCCCACTGTGGCCGCTGAGCAGTGCAGCTGAACCAGCCCGAGAAGAGAGGCACCGCCTCCCCGCTCCCTCGGCTGTGCCGCCTGCGCCCTCCCGGTGCCCGCGCTCACCCCAGCTGCCCGAAGGTGATGTTCTCGTGGAAGCGCAGGCTGTCGTCCCGCTCCTCCTGCGTCATGTGGCCCCACTTCTCCCTGCAAGCACAGGGCCAGGCTCAGGGCAGCGCCCGCACGCGGCTCTGAGCCAGGACTGGGGGTGAGGGGAGGACGGGGGGGAGCACGCAGCCTCCTGTGCGCCCCACACGCGCCTGCGGGAAGGCTCGGGGGAGGGGGTCCCGCCGGCTCTGGGGTGCCAGAAGCCCCCGCCAGGGAAGGTGCGTGTCCGTGGCATCCAGGGACACGGCACGGGGCAGATCTGGGGGAGTGACCGGCCCGGCAGCAGCCCAGGAGCAGAGCGCCAGGCTCTCCTCAAGGCAAGGCCGCGGGCTCCCGCCCCTCACGGGGTCTGTCCTCGGGCCCTGGAGTGTCCACAGGGCGAATGGCCCAGGTCAGCCATCTCCCCTGGCCCGCTGGGCGGGAAGAGCCGAGAGAGGGGGGCTGGAGGCGTGTGCGGGCGCGGACCCAGCTGGACGAAGGCTGAGGGCAGATGGTAGCCGCGTGCCGGGCGCATGGGCGGCACACAGGGACGGAGCCCGGGAGCAGAGGACTGGACCCCACTGCGACCCCCCTCACATCCCTGCTCTCCTCGCCCACAGTCCTCAGAACCTGCCCTGGCGCAGGGCCAAGCCGCGCAGCAGACCTCGAGGGGCTTGTTTCTGCTGCAGCCAGGGCCGCAGGGGGTCTCATGGGACCTCTGGGGGGGGTCCGGGGTGACCAGCGATGAGCCTCTGGGGAGCAGCCCGGGAACTGCACAGGGAGCCCCCTCCCACCAGCGAGCACACACATCTGTGCTCCTGGGCAGGGCCGCACCCCCCCCGCCCTGCCCAGGAGCATGGACGGCCCAGGGGCTGCGGGGAGGGGGAGGGGGGAGCCCACCCACCATCCACCCATCTGGACAGGTGCTGGGCACTGAGGCGGGGCGGCGGGTGGACAGCGCCCCCTGGTGGGAGCTGACTAGGCACAGCAGCCTGCGGCGTCGCAGGCTGGAGAAAGGTCGGACCAAGGGACCCACCATTGCCCAGCCCAGCCCACACGGCACAGCCTTCTCTCCAGGGGCCTGCGGGGCACATACGCGTGTGCACACACACTCAGAGACACACACAGAAACACATATGCGCACGTATGCACGCAGAAACACGCAGTCACACAGAAACGTGCACGCACACCCGGGTCACACATACACACATACAGCTGCCTCAAGCAGCATGTGGGGCTGCAGGGGCGCAGCTGGGAGGGGCGCTGCCCTGACAGTGCCCGGCCTTCAGCCCCCTCCACTTCCTAGGTCGGGGTGCCTCCCTCCGGCCCGGGACAGTCGCAGGCCCCTCGGTGGGGGCTGCCCGGGTGCCAGCCCCCCACGGCACGGGCCGCCCGGGCAGGGAGGACGTGGGCACACACCTCGGCTCCTTCTCTCCAGCTTCCCCTCTGGCGCGCAGCAGAAACAGCAAACAGAGGAACAGGTCAAAGGCACGCGAGGGGCGGGAGCAGAAACGCGGGGGCCCAGGAGCCACGCGGGCGGCGGGGGTCAGCCTGCCAGCCTCTAGTGCGGGACGACGCGGGTCCTCAGACACGGGGCCCCGGCACTCCCCCGAGAGCGGAGACGGCCCCAAGCAGCCCCCTGCACGGCCACCCCGAGCAGGCTGGCGTCCACACCCCACCAGGGCCCTCGGGCGCACGGGCTGTGCCCACAGACAGCAGCAGAGACCCCAGCGGAGACCCCCTGCCTGCAGCCAGGCCCCCGGGAAGCCGGGGCCGGGGCCACTCCGAGGAAGGGCAGGAGGGGGCAGGTGGGGGGCCAGGCCGCCCACGGTCGGCCCCTCCGAGTGCCCGCTCCCAGAACAGGCTGGGGCGCAGGAGGCCAGGCGGGGCAGCGGAAGCGAGGCATGCGGCGGGCGCGGAGCACGGCCTACCTGGTGGTGGGCGAGCGCTTCCTCCTCTCGCAGTGGACGGCGTCGAAGAAGGCCGCGTTCCAGAACCTCAGCGTGTGCCTAGGGGACGCGCCGTGAGCGGGGGGCAGCGGGGGCTCAGCCCCCCCCCCCCCGGGCCCGACAGGCCTCCGAAGCCCAGACGCAGCCCAGGGGGACGACGGTGCCTCGGCCCGGCAGAGGCTCCCGGTGCGAACAAGCCGAGCCCAGCCCTGCCGGAGGGGCTCCTGGGGGCGGGCCGCGGGGGCTGAATTCCTCACACCTGCTCCCACCCAGCCCTTCGCTCCTGAGGCCTGCGCCGACGGGTCGGGCAGAAGGTCCCAGAACCGCTCGGGGCGGTCAGCAGGGAGCTGAGTGGGGGCTCCATTCCCTTCTGGGCCTGGGCGGTCTTCCCAGGGCGGCTAGTGGCCACGTGTCACCTACGGGCACGCTCCCATCTGCCTTCCATGTGGCCCACGAGTGGCCCTGCGCTGCGCCCCGCCTCCGGGGCACTCACCAGATGGGCTGCTGCTTCAGGTGCGAGTACAGGTAGATCTTCTCCCCCTTCCTCTCCTCCTCGGGGCTGCCCGCGCTCCCTGTGGGTCGGGGAAGGGGATCAGGGCGCGAAGGGAACCGCAGGGCACCCCGGCTCTCCCCCCAAGCGGCAGGAAGTAAGGCTGGGCCAACCGGCCCCTCGTGTGGCCCGACCTTGGGGGCTGGCGACTGGGCACCCCCGCCTGGGGGTCCCGGCACTGAACTCACCTGCCCGCTGGGGCTTCCCGGGGGACTTGTCCTCCTCCTCCCTTCGGGCAGAGAGAGCACAGCTGTCACCAAGGCGCCCACGTTTGTGCTCAGAGAAACCCTCGCCCAGGCCTGGAAGGGGAGTCCCGAGCCCGCAGACCACGGAATGGGGCCCACAGGCGCCCGCTGCCCCGATCTGGGACGGACAGGGGGCCTCGGGCACTGGGTCCAGAGAGCAGCAGCGCTGTCAGGGCGGCCGCCGGTGTCCCCGTCCCGGGCCCAGCCTGGGTGGGACACCGCCTCCAAGGCTCCTGCTTTCCCGTGACGGGTGCAGCCCCCCCCTTTACACCCGCGTGGGCCCAGTCAGAGGGGAGTGTCGGGCCAGGCCCCCTCAGCACCCCTAAAGCTGCGGGAACTCGGGTGCAGCCTGCGCCGGGAGGGCAGTGGGAGGGGCCGTCGGGCTCGGGGGCTCTTACTCATCCCTCCGGCCCAGCGGGCTCTTCAGCTTGGTCTCCAGCCCGGCGAAGAAGCCCCTGGCCTGCTCGGGCCTGGCCGTGCCCCTCAGCAGGCGGCCCGCCATGTCCTTGGTCCCGGCCAGCCAGCTGTTGGCCGACTTCAGGTACGAGTCGATGGTGCCCGCCGGCTTCTCCCGCGCCTCCCCGGGGAGCAGGTGCGGCTTCCCTGGCGGGGGGGGGGAGCTCCGTGAGTCCGACGGGGCTCCGCCGCTCAGACTGGCGGGGAGACCCCCGAAACCCCCAAAGGCCCCGACCCCGTGCACTGAGCCAGGAGTGAGCATGGGGGGCTGCCGGGGGCTGCCGGCCTCACCTATGTGATAGTAGGTGAAGCACATCGTCATGAGGTTCTTGGCTGGGCCGAAGTCATCCAGCTGGTGGCACCTGGGGGGGGGCACTGTGAGGCCCCCGGGCGAGCCTGGACACGTGCAGAGCCCGAAATCCCGCGGGGCCTCCGGGACGCCATGGGGAGGCGGGACCAGCCAGAGAGAGGCTCCAGGCTCTATCCTGCCCCTCAGGGAGGTGCTGAACCCCCCCCCCCCCCAGCTGCGCCCAGCTGGAGACAGGGCTCACGCCACAGCGCGTGGCAGCTGCCCCACAGCCTGGTGCCGGCGCTTCCCAGACCAGAGCCAGCGGCACCCTGGGGTCACCCCACCCCCACCCTGCCCCTGGCCAGGGGCAATCCCAGGCCCCCTCTGAGCCACACGCTCCCACGCCAGGCAGTGAGTGCTGGCTCCGTCCGAGGGCCGGGCAGTGAGCGCAGACCCACCCTCAGCACCCTGGGAATCTAGTTCTGTGGGAATGGCACAGGCCTTGCAGGCAACCAACCCAGGCTCGATCCCTGGTACCCCACAGGGCCCCCCACGCCCCACGAGGACTGATTCCTAAGCAGAGTCAGGAGTGAGTCCTGCACCGCCAAGCGTGGCCTGCCCTCTCGCCACTCCAAGTAAACGGCACCGCCCCCACCCGTGGGCACCCGACTGTCCCTCCCTGCATCACTCCAGCCCTAGCCGGGGACCCTGCCCTCGCGAGGGAACTGCTGAACTGAACGGTCCCACAACTGTAGGAGACCTGCCGCGGCCCCCTGCCCACAGAGCAGGTCACCAGGTCCCGGCCCTCAGCCACTGAGCTGCCGTGCCTGGTGACCCCACTGGTGCGACAAGCAGTGTCCGCATCACTGCCATCAGCTCTCCACGGTGCCACCAGATGCTACACTGCTTTCGTAAAATTTTTTGTTTTTCAGTTTTTGGGCCACACCCTGTGGTGCTCACGGTTTACCCTGGCTTTGTGCTCAGGAGTCACACCTGGTGGGGCTCAGGGAATCCACAGGGAAGTCAGGTATTTAACGGAGGGGCCCGTGGGCAAGGCAAGGCTCCCCGCTGCTCTAACACTAGCAGACTCTAGATGCTACATTGTTGCAATAGATAACACAGGTGGCACGAGCTGGCCAGCAGCTACATTGTTGCACTGGCTGGCGACATTGTTGCTTTCGATGGGGCCTTTGTTGCACTGGCTAATTTAGGATAATGTGCTTCTTACACAGCCTCAATTAAGCAACAGAAGGAGGAAAGGCCGCCAGCTGGGCATGTCTACCACCAGGACTGCTCTGTGTACCCCATCCTCGGCCCCCACAGTGCAGTCACAGGGATGTGAGGGTCGCAGGCAGGAGCCTCGGGGACTCAGCGTCTCCAGGTCTTCCCTGATTCAGGTCTCCAGCAAGGCCCACGCGTGCCCGGGGCGAGGGCATTCAGGGACACGGCGTTGGGACAGACTCCAGACTGGGCTGGGGAGGGCATGTGAGCCCGAGTCACTGTCCTCAGGACCCCCATAGGCACCTGCTCACACCCACCTGGGGACAGGGTGACCCTGGGACACAGAGCAGGGCCTGGTGGCAGTGGTACTCACTCGAATAGGACCACGGCAAAGGACTGCACCAGGCGGTAGAAGGTGGCCTCGGACACGCACTTGGAGTTACAGCGCTGTGGGCGACACGACAGGGGCTGCAGGGCCGGAGAGGCCAGGGCCGCCCCCCCCCAGGGTGCCCAAGAGGCCAGGCCGGAGGGGGGTCCATGGACCTGGGGCACAGGCACTGCCTTGCCCAACACCCTCCAGTGTCTGTGTCACCCACTGACGGGAACCCTCCATGGCCACCTCCTCAGGCACTTCCCAAATGCTCCGGAAAAAACAGACAAGAGGGCCGGAGAGAAAAGATAGCAGGTGGGGCCGCCAGGACCCGCTCAGCCCGGATGGTCCCGGAACACGGAGCCAGGAGGAAGCCCTGAGCACTGCTAGTGTGGCCCCCACAAAAGAACCCAAAATAAAATGCTCAGGGAAAGTGGCACTGTTCCAGGGCTCAAGGGGAGCCACCTACCCCACACCTGGGCTCTGCCTGCCCCCGCCCACCGGGCACTGCCCCTGCTAGCCCATCTGAGCACTGTCCCGGGACCCACCTGAGCTCTGCCCGCCCACCGGGCACTGTCCCCCCAACCGGGCTCTGCTCCCCCTACCTGGGCTCTACCCCACAAGCCCACCAGGCTCTGCCCCTGCCCACCTGGGCGCTGACGAAGCGCGCGAACCACTCGCGGCCTCTGCCGTCCTCACTGCTGCAAAACTCCCCGAACTTGGCCTTGTCCTCCTGGTCCAGGTCCTCCCTGGATGGTGCAGAGGGAAGGAGACAGTAGTGAGTCACAGAGAGGCCGCAGGGGGCCCAGGCCACGGAACGCAGACACCTCACCCACTCAGACTCGCACCCCGCGATCCCACCAGGAGAAGGTGCGATTTCAAAGGCTGACAGACTGGTGGGGTGCAGAGGGGGGAGGGAGAAGGCTGGTGCATGCACCTCTCCCGGCTGCCTCCAGGGGGCGCTCTCCTCCTTGCCAGGGCGAGAGCTGGCCCTGCAAGTGGCCGGCTCGGGTTCCATCAGGGAGTGGTCCCTGGGCAGAGCCAGGAGGAGGCCCTGGCAGTGTCAGGGATGACCCCAAATAAAGAAATAAAACTTCCTGGCACTCTTGGGGGGCGGGGACTTATTTCTGATTCCCCTTTTCCCTCACGCTATGTATCCGAAGTGGGCGAGAGCAGAAACAGTCATAGTCTGGCCGTGCAGGACGGGTCAGTGCTCAGGCCACCTGGGACGCCCTGCCAGTGCTGGGGGGAGCCCCGAGGAGGACGGGGAGCTAGAGCTCCTTCCACAGGCCCTGCTCACTGAACACCCCGCCCCCACTTCTGTTCCTGCCTCTCCCCGACCCCTGCCAGACCCACAGAGTCAAGTCCAGAAGGGGGGCATCGCAGGGGTGCACACGGTGGAGCAGCGGGGGAAGAGGAGGCAGAAATCCCCCGGACGGTGCCAGCTGCAAGGTATCATCTGGAAGGCCGCCCAGACAGCCAGCAGGGCACGGGAACACTCAGCCAGCCCGGGACAGGCGGAGTCCAGGCAGGAGCTGGACAGGGGCCAGGAAAACGGGCCAGGGCCAGGTCTTGGAGAAGGCGGGGCTTTGCCCAGGAGAGAACAGGACACTGCTGGGGGCAGGGCCGGAGAGGGCGGCCAGGCAGGCCTGGAGGGGGCGGGGCTGGAGGGGGGTGGGTCAGGCCCAGAGGGGGCGGGCCCAGGCCTAGAGGGGGCGTGGTGGGGCCCAGAGGGGCCGGGCCTAGAGGGGGGCGGGCCCAGAGGGGGCGTGGCAATGCCCAGAGGGAGCACGGTGGGTCCAGGCCCAGATGGGGCGAGGGTGGACCAAGAGGGGGCCGGGCCGGGCCCAGAGGGGGCTGGGCGTGGCCCAGCTCACCCTCCCGAGAAGATCTTCTCCACGTAGTTGCGCATGAACTCCCGGAGCTCCAGCGCATCCTCGTCCTTGGCCGACTCGGTGCTCTGGTTGGAGGAGAAGGAGTCGTCGGAGGGCGAGCGGTGGTACTGGTCCCAGGACGGGTGCGAGGGCGACTCGCCCATGTCAGTCTCACTGTCCGCCGACTCGGTGGCCTCGCTCTCGGACGCGCCGTCGCCCTGGGAGCCCTCCTCGTCCTGCAGCTTGGGCCGCGGCGTGTCCCCGGGCGAGGGGGCCGGTGGCTCGGAGCCCAGGTCGATCAGGGAGCCCACGGGCACCTCGGGGGCCTCCATGGCTGGGCCGGGTGTCTGCCGAGGAGGACCGGAGGGAGGCTGGAGGCTGGAGGCGGCTCCCCAGGGTCAGAGGGTGCCGGGGGCCCGGCCCATGCGAGGGGCCGACAGCCGCGGGCCTTGGCAGGGCGCTCCGGGGGTTACAGCATCTGGAAGCGAAGGCAAAGCACTGGTGTTGGGGGCAGGTCACCCAGGCCTCGGGGACACAGGACTGAGCCCGGTTCCCGGCACAGGGTTCTCCTAACTACAGAGCTCGCCAGTGTGTCCTGCCCGCGGTCAGCGTGCCCACATGCCCGCACAAACCGACAGCCACAACCCGGCTTTCCCAGGCCCAGCCATGGACTTTCACAGCCCGGGCGGGGCAGGGGGGTGGGTGGGTGCTGCCCTTTCCCCTCCGATACTGCCCCAGTCCCTCTCCCTCCGAGGCCGTGGGTGAGGAACGCAGCGGGGAGGCTGGGCTGACACCCCCATGGCTGTCCACCTGCCCCCAGCAGACTGGGCACCAGCCACCAGGGACATGGGTAGGTGGGGGGACAAGAGTCCACTGTGCTGGACCTTGTTTCCGGCCACACCTGGCCCTGCCCGGAAGCGAGACCCCGTGGTGCTCAGGGGACCATACGGTGCTGGGGACAGAATCCAGCCCAATGCCTGTACTCTCTGGCCAGCACTTTTGTGAACCCACTGGAGAATGTGCCCCTGGGCGACCAGGCCTTGTGGCGCAGCCAAAGTGCGGGTAGGGGGCGCCTCTGGCATGGCCTGGCGCCTGGCACCCCTCATCTGCTAGGTTGGGGATGGGTGCACCAGGTCGGAAGCTTGTGATTTCCGGTCTGGGGCCCCCCGGAAGTGCTCAGGGCTCACCTCCTGGTGGGGCTGGGACCAAGCCCAGGTGAGCCGTGAGTGAGGCCGGCACTTTCCCTGCCATCCTGTCTCCAGGCACCTCCCTGGCCCTTGGCACCGGGTCCTCGAAGGGTGCCCCCCCCCCCCCCGCCTGGACACTGGGTGTTGCTAGGAGCGACATCTGGGCTCCTGGGCACTTTGGGAGGAGGTAAAGGCGTGAGCAAAGGGGGAGAGACAGAAGCACCCAGCCAGGCGGCTCTGGGATCCAGGTCACCCTGAGGCAGGTGGTGAGAAATAAATAAAGCCTCGGAGGCGAGGGGAGGGGAGCCCAGAGTCTGACACATCTGCAGCCACCCCCACCCCTGCATCTACTTTCCAGCCCAGAGCAAAGAGGTTCAAGGTCATGGGAAAGAGACTGAAGCTCGCAGCTGGCGGCCCCCAGCCTCGGCTCCGGGGGGAGGGCGTGCGTCACCCCCTCCCAGGAGGAGGGGGCAGGCTGGCAGGGAGAGGCGATGGAGCAGGGGTCTGATCTGACCACCCCCCTGACCTCCTCCTGGGCCATGGCAGAGCCCCGGAGACCAAGGTCATGGCCCGGGTCAGAGCTGGGTCCTCCCCTACCCAGAACCATCCCGTTCCTCTTCGAGCCCGTCAGCGCTATGGGCTGTACCTGAGCCCCGCCCACTCTGCACAGCAGATGACCAGGTGCACAGGCGCGGGGGGTGGGGGGGGAGTCAAGGAAGAATCAGTCCTTCCACTGGGACAAAGGGCTTGGTGGGGGGCACGGGGGCCAGGACACTTCGATCCCTGGTCCCGTCTGCCCCCCCGAGATTCAGAGGTGCAGCCCTGGGCCCCAGCACTGCAGGGGTGACCCCAATACCCTGATGCTGCACCCTCACGCTGAATCTAAGGCCCAGCGACCTGGCTCCCCCCACCCTGCCGTCCCCCCAGCACTGTGTGGGAGACCCGGAGGCAAGAAAAAGCCAAGCTCATCCGAGACTGTGGGGCTGGGCAGCTTGCCTGGCCTGGCCGCACCCCACCTCACCCCAGTTCTCTCCGGCCCTGGCGGCCCCAAGGGCAGGAGGAAGGAAAGAGGTTGCCTGGGGCCAGCCACACCCCCACTTTGCACAAACTCTGATTCCCCAACGCGGCAGGTCGGCCCCAGCCGCCAGAGCCCCCACCCTGCCCCGAGCCGCAGGGTTTCCCACGCGCCCCAAGAACCAGCTGGCGCCCCACCCGGGAAGGAGAGAGGGAAAATCTCATAGCAGGTCCCCCCAATCCCCCAACCCAGCAGGCTCCGGGCCCCCGCAGAGCCGGGGTGACCCAGGCACCACATGGAAGGGCCTGCTGTCAGGGGAGTTTCCGGGAGAGACCACGAGGTCGGTCTCGGGTTCTGCTGGGGTGGACGGCGGCTTCTCCCGGAACCAGAGCTCAGGGCCAGAACTCAGGCTTGGGGGAACTGGGCCTAGGGGGGAAGGGCAGTTCCCCCCAGGGCCTGTGTCCCCAAGGGCCAGTGCCCACCCCCAGTTCCACTGGCCTGAGGACTTCGCAGGGCAGCCGGAGCCTGTTCGATCCAGGGGTCCCATCACGGCCGCCCCCGGGACGGAGCCCCTCCTCTCCTGAACATCCTGGCCCTAGGGCTCCCTCCTGCCCCCCAGCCGCTCTTGAGTGGACGTGCCCAGGAACCCGCTGAGCCCCACGTGGGCAGCCCAGGGTGGCCCCTCGGGGCCAGCGCTCTGGAGAGACCAACAAGGCGCAGAGCAACTCCCTTGAATAAACGTGTCAAGTGCTCCTCACGCAAGAGACGCAGCCGGGGGCCGGACAGCACCGGGAGGGGCGGGGGAGAGCGCTGGGAGGGGGGCGCTGTCCCCACACGCGGCTCCTGACCCCCATCCTTCCCCCGGCTGCGGTCCTGTTTCCATGCTCCCAGCTCAGGGGGGAGGGGGAGGGGGCCCCGGGCCTCCCCCCAGACCATCCCTCGCATCTCCGGTGAGTCATCGGCTGAGTCAGCCCGCCCACACGCCCGGCGGGGTCCCTCACTCTCTCCCCTCCTGCCCACCTGCCTCCCTGGCACAGGTCGGCCACACAGGAGCAGGCCGGCCGGCGGGGGAGGGAGACTTCTAGAAGACCCAGGAGACGTCCCTCTGCCGCGCACAGCCACATTCTACTCGTGCCCTGCCCCGCTCACCCCCTACTCCACCCTCACCCCTTCACCCGGCCCCCCGTGGACACCCCCTTCGAGCTGGAAGGAGGGCAGCTCTCCACAGAACCCCCAGGTCCCAAACGGCGGGGGATGGGAAGGCGACCCCCCCACAGGCACGGAAGGGCGGTGCCATCACGTGTCCACCCGCTGAGGGGCAGGGAGTCGCTGAGATGGCTTTGCAGGCAGGAGGCCCAGGTCTGACCCCCACACTGCGTCGTCCCACCAAGTGCAGGGAGCGACCCCCAGGAGCTGCCCCGGGAGCGGCCACCGGGCCCGACAGAAGAACCCCCCAACCAAAAAGCACCAACGAAAATGGCACGAGCCACGAAGGGGTCTCCCGAAAGCAACACTGTCCCGACCCCCAGGGCCCGGGTCTCCAAAGAGGGCGTCTGCAGAGCGGTGGGGGCGCAGCCAAGGAGCAGTGGGGGACACGGGCGGGCTGGGCTGGGCACAGCTGAGGAGCCCCACGGACCCCACAGCCCATCCTGCCAGCTCCCCAGTTCAGGCCGTCCAGCTTGGCGCTGTCAGCTGCCCACAGGCGCGAAGCCATCTACACGTCCCCTTGGCCCGGACCCAATGGTTCTGATCCCAGAAGGCTCCTCTGACCTGGAACAGCACAGTGGGGAGGGCACCTGCCTGGCACACAGCTGGGCACGCTTCAATCCCCTGCAACGAGCACTGTAGCCCAAGCCAGTCCCTGAGCACAGAGCCAGGAGTCAGCCCTAAGTACTGCCGCCCGGGTGTGACCCCCCAAACAAACAAAGGTCAATACATTTGGACTCTGTGTGAGACCCTGCTGGGGGCAGCTGGGCCCACATGGTTGCTTCTGCCAGGCCAAGCCAGAGCCCAGCATGCCCCCCGCCCCCCTCGTGCAAGACGAGTGCTCCTCCTCGGAGCCACCTGGACCCTGAGAGCAGAGTGGCTGGGAGCGGGAGGAAAGGGCTGTCAGGGAAAGCCACTGAGACCATGAGCCGAAAGACGGGGAGCGGCCACTACAAAGGAAGGACCCGCTCGTGCAAAGGTCCTGGGGCAGACTGTGGGGAGGGGGAAGGCCAGTGAGGTGCTGACAGCACTGAGTCGGAAGTGGCTGGGGCGGAAGTGGCTGGGTCACGCTGTGCTCGGGGGTGCAGCGCAGCCCCTCACAGCTTTTTGAGGATCACTCTGGTTCGAGAAAAAAATGAGGGTAGGGGCCGGAGCTATAGCACAGTGGGGAGGGAATTTGCCTTGCACGCGGCCAACCTGGGTTCGATCCCCAGCATCCCATAGGGTCCCCACGTGGTACCACCAGGAGTAGTTACTGAGCGCCGGGTGTGACCCAAAGAGAAAAAAGAAATTAGGGAAGAGAACAGCAGTGCAGGGAGGGTGTTTGCCTTGCGTGTGTCTGTCCTGGGTTCGATCCCTGGCACCCCAAAGGCTCCCCCAAGTCCTACCAGGAGTCATCCTTGAGCACAGAGCCGGAGTCAGCCCCCACTACTGCCAAAATAAACCCAAGATTTTATAGAAAGGTCTAAACTTCAATCAGGCCACGTTACTCCCTGGGTTCCCGGCGGCTCGGGGCTCAGCCGAAGTTAAAGGCGACTCCCGGGATTCCTGGCTCACCTGCTCACCCATCCCAGCCGGGCTGCTTCCGGGTCCCAGGTCCCCGCTGGGCGAGAGGCTGCCCGTCCTCTGGTCCCGCCCTCCACGCGCTCTGGCTTCTGACTCAGCTCCTGCCACCTCCCTCCGTGGGGCCCGAGGGACAGCACAGCGGGAGGCGCTCGCCTTGCATGGGCCGGCCCAGGCTTGATCCCCGGCGTCCCCTAGGGTCCCCCCGGCCCCGCCAGGAGTGATTCCTGAGTGCAGAGCCAGGACTAGCCTGAGCATCGCTGCTGTGGACCAAAACAAAATGCAAAAAGCCCCAAAGGGTTCTAAGAACCTCGGCTGGAGGCCGTCAGGGGCCAGTGTAGGAAACGGCTTGATTATTTTGCTGCCTGCATTCTACTGGGAGGGGC